CAAATGAAATGTGGCGGGAGGAGGGGATTCGTCTGGCGTTTGCTGCTGCAGCAGCAGCAACTGCAAAAACCCCAAGTGCTGCTGCTGCTGCTGCTGCTTCTAGTTCTGCTGCTAATCTGCTGAGCACACCACGTCCAGCAGCAGCAGCAGCAGCAGCAGCAAATGCTGCAGCAGATTGGGACGCAGACTCTGCATGCAGGTTTCTTCAGGGCTGCTTCATGCTGCAGCTTATTGAACCCGCCGTAACGGATTGGTGAGCCGTAAACCCTAAACCCTAAACCCTAATTTTGTGCGTTCAGCTGCTCAAAGAAGCTCGCAGGAAAGCAGATTCCCTCTTACTCCCAATGACGCGAGGGTTGGGGTTTAGGGTTTAGCTTTGGAGCTTAGGGTTTAGGGTTTAAGGTTTAGGGTTTAGGGTTTAGGGTTTAGGGTGTGAGAACAGGGCGTGGAGAGCTGCATTCCACAGCAGCAAACCGCCGACCCTTGCAGCAGTTGCTGCTGCTTTGAGTGCTGGGGCGAAGTGTTTAGGGCCCCTGAAGCAACAGTAAGAACCCTAAACCCTAAACCCTAAACCCTAAACCCTAATTGAGTCCTAAACCCTAGACTCTAAACCCTCACCGAGCGCTAAACCCTAATTGCCCGCAAAATATAAACCTGCAACGGCAATAGACAAGAGCAGCTCCTGGAGCTGCATAATACTGCAGCAGCAGCAGTAGCTGCTGCTAGGGTTTAGGGTTTAGGGTTTAGGGTTTAGGGTTTATGTTGCAGCGAGGCGCTGGCAATAACTCGTGCAGCCGCGGCAGCTGCAGATTTGGAGTTGAAAGCAGCAGCAGCAGCAGCAGCAAAAGCAAGAGGAACAGCAGCAGCATCATCAGCAGCAGCAGCTGCTGCTGCTGCTACTACACTAACAGCAGCCCTGATGCACGCATCGGTGATTGCTGCTGCTCTTGTTCGGCTGTCTATCAGCAGCAGCAACCCCAGCCTTCTTCATTTGCTGCTGTTCTCTCGCGCTGGGCCCATGCTGCAGCAGCAGCAGCAGTTGCTGCAGCAGCAACAACAGCAGCATCAGCAGCAACAGTGCTGTGCCAGTTTGCAGAGCTTATCGCTTCTTATTCTTTCCTGGGGAGCAGCTTCTATTTATACAGCGAGACACTCCCACACAGCAGCAGCAGCAGCAGCAGCAGCAGCAGCAGATGTGCAGTTCCTGACGCCTATCGTGTTGCTGCTGCAGCTGCAGCTGCAGCTGCAGCAGCAGCAGCAGCAGCAGCAGACAACCCAAAGGGGCAGCAGCAAAGCTGCATCACGCCAGCTGTTGGTGGGTGCTGCATGCTGGTGGCACTCGCATGCATCTGCTGCTGCAGCTCCTGCTGCTGCTGCTGCTGCAGATGCTGTTGCTGCAGCTGCACCAATTAAGCTGCTTCGGCTGCTGCTGCAAATCGTGCGGCTCGCAGAGGCTCTCAGCAGCCCCTCCTTGCGGCTGGCTACACAGCAGCAGCAGCAGCAGCAGCAACAGCAGCAGCAGCAGCAGGAAGAGCAGCAGCTAATGCAGCAGCACAATGACGTCTGTGAGATAAATGCCGCCGACGAAGAAACATCAGAAATGCATCTTCAGGTGTCTGACGTCTTGGCCTCAACTCTAACAAAGCTGCAGCAGCAGCAGCAGCAGCAGCAGCAGCAGCAAAAGCAGCAGCAAAAGCAGCAGCAGCAGCAACAGGTGCAGGATTGGCAGCTTCTTGCGGAGCACCAAGTCGGTGTCTACCGCATCGACTTGCTGCTCCTTCCTAAACCCCAACCCCCCGCCAGCTCTTAGCTAGCCAGCAGCTAGCTAGGAGCTAGCCAGCAGCTAGCTAGCTAGATAGCCAGCAGCTAGCTAGCTAGATAGCCAGCAGCTAGCTAGCTAGATAGCCAGCAGTTAGCTAGCTAGATAGCCAGCAGCTAGCTAGTAGCTAGTCGGTAGCTCGCTATTGAATAGCCGTTAATTGTCTAGGAGGTAGCTGGCTAACTGGTGGCTAGCTAGTAGCTAGCTGCGGGGTCGTTCGCTAACTAGCAGGCTAGCCGGCTAGCTAGCTAGCTAGCTAGCTGGCTGCCTGGTGAGTAGGGGGGATGTTTTTCTTAAGGGGCTCTAAAGAGAAAATCAATTTATTAATAATTTTGTCGTTTTGTTTAAATTTTTTATTTGTTCGTCCGCCGCTCCTCAACTCCCCCTCCCTAGCTAGCTGGTTCTAATACATACAGCCAGGCTAGCTCTTCAGCTAGCTAGCCAACCAGCCAGCTAGCTAGCTAGCTAGCTATCCAGCTAGCTATCCAGCGCGCTAGATACCTATCCAGCCATCTACCCATCCAGCCAGCTAGCTGGCTAGCGAGCTAGCTGGCTGGCGATCAACCTAGCTAGCCGTATCAATCCAGCTAGGTAGCTTGATAGCTTGAACATCAAGCTAGCTAGCTATCCATCCAGCTAGCTATCCATCCAGCTAGCTAGCTAGCTAGCTAGCTGTCAGTGAAGTCTGGTAGTACGGCTAGGAGCTGCGATTGCTGCGAGCCGATGACTGGCGGCGTACCCACAATCAGCGAAGCGGAGGGGCTTCGAAGTTCGTCTGCATGCAAACAAAATAAAAATAAACAAAAACGAAATATTAATTAAAAGAAATAAATTAAAAATAAATAAAAAAGAAGTAAATATAAAACCCAATAAAATACACAAAAGAAATAAACAAACAAAAATGAAGCAAATTTACAAAAGAAAGAAAAAGCAAACAAACAAACAAATAAACAAACAGATAAATAAGTTAATAAATAAATAAATAAATAAATAAATAAATAAATAAGCAAACAAACTATCTATCTGTCAAGCTATCTATCTACGTATCTATCTACCTAACTATCTACCTACCTAGCTATATACATAGCTATCTATCTATCTATCTATCTACATATACATATATATATATATGTATATATATAGCTAGCTAGCTAGCTAGCTAGCTAGCTAGCTAGCTAGCTACTTGGCTGACCAACTGCCGCTCTTTCGCAGGCCTCAGTGAGGAATTTGAAAGACGTCTCAAACGCCATTTGCAAAAACGGAGAATTCGAATTTTGAATTCCGAGTCTGAAAACAACAACCATCATCATTAGGGTTTAGGGTTTAGGGTTTAGGGTTTAGGGTTTAGGGTTTGGGAGAAGGGAGAAAGGCGTCAGCGGATGTGCGCACGTTCGATATCGGGGGTTTTGCTGCCTTTTGACGGATATGTGTATGATGAGGGGTTTAGGGTTTAGGGTTTAGGGTTATTGCTGACAGGAGTCTTGATGTTTAGGGTTTAGGGTTTATAAGAGTTATATCTATTGAATAATACTTTCACATTATTAAACATAACGACAAAAACCTTGGTGTCTACGGTTTCATGTCTAGGGTTTAGGGTTGAATATCTAGGGTTTAGGGTTTAGGGTTTAGGGTTTAGGGTTTATAGGGTTAAATACCTATTGAAAGGAATGATACTTCCGCTTCGAGTAATAAAATCTGCAACAAGGCCAAGATGTGCGCTGTGCACATGAATACCGTAAGCTGAAAATACAGCAGAGATCTCTTTTAAATATAATGCTCTTGCTGCTTCAACACCGTAAAACTTTAAAACAGATAAAACATCGTTTGTTTGAAGCCTGTAAATAACACACATAATACTCTCTTATATTCTGTCGTTTTGTTTTGTTTTGTTTTGTTTTGTCTTGTTTTGTTTGATTTGTTTAATTCAATATAAAGTAAATTAAATTAAAATAAAATAAATTATATTAAATTACATTAAAATAAAATACGAGAGAGAAAATTAAATTAATTAATATCATAAAATGAACAAAGAAAACAAATAAATAAACAAATTAACCTAAAAAACAAAACAAACAAGTAAAATAAATTAATAAATAAATAAAACAAATAAAATAATCAAAAACTAAACACAAAAAAACAGACAAATATAATAATTAAATAAATTAAATAACAAACCAAAAAAACAAAACAAACAAACAAATAAACAAATAAACAAACAAATTAATTAATTAATTAATTAACAAACAAAATAAACAAATATTTAAATAAATAAATAAATAAATAAATAATAAAACAACCAGAACAAATAAACAAATAAACAAACGAACAAATAAACAAACAAACAAATAAACAAACAAACAAACAAATAAATATATAAATAAATAATAAATAAACAAATAAATAAATAAATAATAAATAAATAATAAATAAATAATTAATTAATTAATTAATTAATTAATTAATTAACAAACCTGTTGTGGTCTACTGCACTTTCTTTGAGTTTGTGCAGCCACTGCAAATTCGAACCGCGACACCGCAGCTCCATTCCACAGCCAGTTAAACAGCCTGCCCCCTGAATAAATAAATAAATAAATAAATAAATAAATAAATAAATAATAGTATATTAATAAATATATATATAAATATATTAATATAGTAATACGTATTTAAATGCGGATATAGCCATGTATGTATGTATATATGCATTTCAAAACATCTCCTCCCTGCATGCAAGCGATATATATATATATATATATATTTAATATATATGTATATTTAATATATATATATATTTAATATATATATTGTTTGCTATGTAATATACATATATATAATTGAAATGCATGCATGCAGTTGTTAAGCATTGAAACGACCTCCAGAAAACGCATGCATTCAAGTGCGCTCACCCTAAACCCTAAACCCTAAACCCTAAGCCCTAAACCCTAAACCCTAAACCCTAAACCCTAGAGATGCTATACCTGCACAATGTGAGGGTCTGTAACCCCCTGTGGCTGCTGAAGCACTACTTTTTCGATTAAACCCTTGACGAGCGGCAGCAGTTCAAGGCGGCTGCAAACACAAACACCAAGCCCTAAACCCTAAACCCTAAAGCCTAAACCCTAAACCATTACCCCGTTCTTTACAGGGTTTCGGGTCCACGGTTTACAGTCTAGAGTCAAAGGCCTTAGGCTCAAGAATTTCGGTCTAGGGTTTAGGGTTTAGGGTTTAGGGCTTAGGGTTTAGGGTTTAGGGCCTTACTAGGGGCATTTGTCGAACGGCCATCCGAACTTCACAACAACTCGCCATGTCTTTCGGCAGATCTTCAGCTCGTGTAGCATTGCCGCCGCTGCAACCAAACCCTAAACCCTAAACCCTAAACCCTAAACCCTAAACTCTACCGGGTGTTTGCATGCTATTATCTCTTCTATAGCATGAAAAACGAGTTGTTATCTTCTAATGATTTAGCCTTGATTAGATTTAGGGTTAGGGTTTAGGGTTTAGATCAGGGCGTAGGGTTTAGGGTTTAGGGTTTAGGGTTTAGGGTTTAGGGTTTACATTCAAGGTCAAGAGGCGCCATTTTCTGGAAGGCTGCTGCTGAAGCCCATACAGCATCTTGTTCATAAGGAGAAGGATTGATTAGTTGTTGTGTATTTGCATGCATATTTTTGTTTGTTTTGTTTGTTTTATTTGAGGTTTCGTCTTCATCAACAAATACACCTAAACTTCTATCAAAGCGTTTTCCTCGTAATACCTCAGCCAAATCCAAGAGAGGCTCTTCTTCATTATTACCCCGCTGCTGCTGCTGCTGCTGCTGCTGCTGCTGCTGCTGCTCTTGTTTGATACGTTTCCCTGGGGGTGTTGTTGCTTGTTCTTCTGTGTCGCTCTCTGCTTCTCGTTTTATCTTTTTAACTTTTTTCTCTCCTACCTCTATCTTTATATTATTATTATTATTATTATTATTATTATCTTCAGCCTCAGACTCGCCGCTGCTGTTCTCAGATTCAGAAGCAGAACCGTCTTGCTGCTGCTGCTGCTGCTGCTGCTGCTGCTCTTCATCTTCATCTTCTTCATCTTCTTCTTCTTTCTCATCTTCTTCTTCTTCATCTTCTTCTTCATCCTCGCTATCGCCAGAGTTGCCTGAACCCTCTGCAACAAAATAAAAAACAAACACAATTCAACGCATTTGCTGCTGCTGCTGCTGCTGTTGCTGTTGTTCGTGTTCGTTGCTGCTGCTGCTGCTGCTGCTGCTGTTGCTGTTGTTCGTGTTGGTTGCTGCTGCTGCTGCTGTTGCTGTTGCTGCTGCTGCTGATGATGATGTGAGAGATCCCCACGGTCTGAGGATTGCGTATAGCTCTGCTTTATAAATGATGTGGTTGTCGGAAGTGATTTAGGGTTTAGGGTTTAGGGTTTAGGGTTTAGGGTTTGTTGTATGCGTGCCTTCTTCTTCCTGTTCTTCATTCTTGGTGCGTCTCTTTCGAGATTGTTTGCTTAGGCCGTCATCATCTCTATCATCTGCTGCTTTACTGTCTTCTTCTGCTGCGGCGTCTGCTGCTGCTGCTTTTTTTGCTGCTGCTGGAGCCCTGCTTGCTGCTGCTTCCCCCTCTACATCAACATCGCCAGCCCCGTGCTCGCATGCAATATTTCCTGATCGAAGAATGTCTTTAACTGCTCCTCTCCGATCCCTGAGAATAAACACATTTGCTGCTGCTGCTGCTGCTGCTGCTGGTTCTGCCGCTGCTGCTGCTGCTGCTGCGGGTGCTGCTACTGCTGGTGCTGTTGGTGCTGCTGGTGCTGCTGATGCTGCTGATGCTGCTGTTGCTGCTACTGCTTGTGAGATGTCAATCAGCCCTAAACCCTAAACCCTAAACCCTAAACCCTAAACCCTAAACCATTCCTTACCACTGCGTCTTGAAGCGCTCCTTTAAAACGAAGCCTCTGTACAACTGCTGTACATCGCTTTGCAGCTCTGAAGCCTCGGCGAATTCATATTGCAATACGGAGGCAATTGCAAGCTTTCTTGCCTGAACGTAAACCCTAAACCCTAAACCCTAAACCCTAAACCCTAAGTGGTGAACACCAGACGTGAATACTGTTTGCAATACAACTTTAAATACAACCTCAATCCTAAACCCTAAACCCTAAACCCTAAACCTCGCCACCAACCCTAGACCCTTTTCTGAATCTTTTCGCGTCCTAGCCCCAGACCCTAAACCCTAAACCCTAAACCCTAAACCCTAGTAAGCCCTAATGAACCCTAAAAGATACCTTCTTAAGTAGAGGTCTGACGACTTTGTTGAGGACAAGAAGAAGAAGATCATCAGGTTTAAAAGCACGTACAACTCTACAAAAATCTTGTAGAGGTTCGAGCTGTATAGACACCTCGTACTGCCAAAATAGGCGAGAGGAAAGCGAAGAAGATGAAGAAAATGCAGAGCCCAGCGGGAGCTTCTCTGCTGAGTCGGGGCCCTGTATCATCGTACGCAACAAATATAAAACAAAACAATCATCAACAGCTACCTAGATAGCTAGCTAGCTAGCTGGCTAGCTAGCTGGGAGTGAATCCAGCTAGCTAGGCTGCTTCAGGTGAGCCAGCCAGCTAGCTAGCTAGCTAGCTAGCTGGATGGCTAGCTAGCTAGCTAGCTACCTGGATGGCTAGCTAGCTAGCTTGATGTGTAGAGAAT